ACTTCAGTGCTCTGCGGCAAACAAGTGCGGGCGCTATGCACTTAAGTGTGCATTTGGTTTGGGAACTTGAGTTTTCGGTCATGTCCGCAGAAGGGTATCAACAGGTTATGAACCCAAAACAAGCTACTTTTGCACCACCCCTGAGCTCGTGCATGCTGCGTCGCCCGCGATCGATGGAGCATGGAACTTCGCTGGCTTTGCCTCCACCAGAGGAGGACACTGCAAGGGCCTCTGGGGAAGAGGCTGGAAAGGTGAAGGAAAGAGAAGGGGTGGAAAAAGATGAAAAGGGTTTGACCGGGTTCAGCAACAGGGCCTACTACGGAGATGGAAGTGTTTCGTAGTGGTGGGTCCAAGCTCAGTGCAAAAGAGCCGACTGAGCAACCAAAAGGTCGGCCGGTGACCCTTGCACCTCTGGTTCCTATGCAGCAGCAGATGCCGCCGCTGTTTACAAAGGAACAGATGAAAGAAGCAAGAGCTGCCGCTCGTCTTGCACCCCAGGTGTTTGGAAGGACACCACCTCCATCATCCTCTGAAGAGCAGTTGGAGCCCCTTCAACGACCTGCATTCCTTCAAGAAGAGGAGGAAAGGTTTGGAGGAAAGAAGAAGGCCCCAGGAGGCTATGATGAGGAAGAAAGCGAAGAGCTCAGGCGATGTGATGATGAGGATTCAGAAGATCCCCAAGGCCGCCACCGAAGCCGCCTTCAAGAAGAAAAAGAAGAAGAGATCATGTGGCGCTGGCAGATCTCGCAAAATATGAAGAAGCTGACAAGCCTATGTCAGGATCAACAACGTGAAAATGATCGCCTTCAACAGGAGCTCTATGAATGGAGGTTGGAGGATGCAGAAAGAAAAAGGCAAGAGGAAGAAAAGAAAAAGAAGGAGAAAGAGGAATGTCATGTCCCTCGAAGTTCATCGACGTTCAACACTCCCGAAGAAGCGAAGCCCGAAGCTCCCAGCGTCTTGGATATGTTGGGGAGTAGGGGACGCACTCCATGGTCACCTACCCAGCTAGGTATGGAAAGGGGTCGAGATCTCAATCCAAAGACCCACCTCGAAAAGGAAGAAGTCCTTCGTATGGAAAAGGGTTCAAAGGAGGATCCAAGATCGACCACCCACAAGCCTACAATGGGGGGAGCCAGGCCTTCACCAGAGATCTAGCAAATGGAGGTCGTGGCATTGCTTGTTGAAAGTATGAAGGCCCTTCAACGTCAGATTTCTGAGGGGCATGACAGTCAAGGCACCATCAAAGGTGTTGAAGTGGTGAGACAGGTTGCAAAGCTCCCAGCTTTGGGGAGCATACAAGGCAACACCTCACAGGGGTTGGAACCCAACAGCTTGAGTTTGCTGGCCTTTTTTGGTAGGATTCCGGCCTTTTAGTGGGAATCCAGGGTTGGATTTCCATGGTTTGGCGTCCGAGTGTTGAAATTTCTTGGTTGGCGCAAAATGTGTGGGCTAATGGGCCATCAGTTGATGCGTGCGTAACTTGCAGGGTTGGGCATCCGGGGTTGGAGCGCAACAGTTTGATGTTGATAGGATTTCAATGGTTTGGCATCCGAGGGTTGGCACCCAAAGTTTGAGGGCTGGCAGGAGGAAGTGTTTGAGTTTCTGGGTTGGGGGGCTGTTGACGGCATGCAACGCGCGCACGTATTACGCCCACGGGCAAGGCACGGGAGGCACGGGCATGGTGAAACCACGGGCAGACTTTCTCGATTTTCCTGGCGCGGTGCTCTCTGGAGCGTCCCTGTTTGTTGGTCTATTGGAGAATCCGTGCCAAAAATAAGCGTCAGTGAACACCAGGAGAATGATGCCCGAAATGGTTTTTGTGGTTGTGTTGAAATCTGTTTCGGGTATCGTGCATCAATGCGAAGCCCTATAGAGAGCAGGGCTGGGAGGAAAAAATAGCAGAGCACCTATGGTTGAAAGCTTGTAGTTTCGTGGAGCTGGTATCACTGCGACTGAGATCAAGATCGGAGCACAGCATGAAGTGTTGAACGCTTGCAGCTTTCTTGCTCTTGCGGCGCTCTTATCCCCAAGCCTCTACCCCGCCCAACTGGACATACAGTCCCTATGCCCTGCTCAGGACTAGAAACATTATCTCCAAACCCCTTCATGATGCTAATGATGCACTACTCGGCGTCATTTATATCACTTGCATCACCGCATCACCAAACAACTTTTTCGATGCTTTCCTGACCATACTTTTGAACGCTCTCCCCCACCAGGCTCAAGGTTCGACCTCCCAAAAGTGGCCTCAGCGCGACCACCCCCACAATCCCCCACCCCCTTTATTCACTTCGTTCACCCTAAAATGATATATGTACAAACCGGAGTCTAGGCTCGCTGACCCGTGGCTCGCTTTAGCAAGATATTGCAAGTATGAGGAGCCCCCTCTTGCACCGCAAACAAGAGCCAGTGAGTGGATGTTTCAACTTGAGGTTGCTTAGAGTTTAGAGGATCCTCTTTCTCAGCTCGGGGCAACAGCATCCTATTTTTCTTTCTCCTTTGTTGCGAGCCTTCAAAGCCACTTCCATACACGGTCTTGGCAACTTGCCGGCAGGAGCTTTGGGATGAATATTCAGGGACTATTGTATGGTATAGGCATAGGGTTCCATGTAAGGGCTAGCTCTTGACCCCAAAGCTCAACTTGTAGCTCCTCAAATCCCTTGCGTAAGGGGAACCCCATCTGAAGGGTGACGAACGTTGGCCATAAAGAGGTTCGCTGCGCATCCTACCAGCACGAAGACTAGTTCGCTGTGGATGATGGGGCTTGGGATGGATGGATAGCCATGCGGACGGATAGATTGGATCCGCAACTGGGTGGGCATACAACGTTACACGGCAAATGAATGGACAAATGAAAAGACTCCGACAAAAAATAACGAAGCCAAATGTCCATCCCAAATTCAAATAAACTACTTCTAGCAAAAGCTGTAAGGGCTAGTGGCTAGGTTGCTGGCTTGAATCTACATAGGTATCTATTGTAGATACAGGATGATACAGGCAAAGTTGCTGGGATCATCTGGGATCTAGAATTAAAAGCGGCTCTTCAAATCTTTTGACCGCAAACGCCGCCACATCAGTTTGAGTGAAACACACCCAACGCTCGACCTTCTGCTGGTACAGCAGGTGCAAGGTCACTGCGGTTCTCATTGCGGATTTGTCGAACTTGTGATTGAATTGGGTGTCTCCGATCACTCACATCCGAGGCCGGAAAGAAATAAGCTCCTTGCACTTTTGGGAAGCCGCCCACGATCACAGCATGGGGGGACTCTGCAGAGTGCGTTGTGGGTCCAATGGGTCTCATAGGTCCAGTGACTGATGTGGAGAGCGCGAATTGTTGGAGGACATGGGCACTGCTTTGGGCCCTTGGTTCTGGCAAGCTGGGGCTGGCGGCAGGGCAGGGTTGTCGCCCAATATGTGTTTGGAGACGATCGACTCCGATTGGCTCCGCTCCGAGGTGTGGAAACGCTCCGAGGTTGGGAGACGTCTCAGCAAAAAAGGCCGCAAGGTCTTCGGATGCTTCCGCCAAGCGCTGGCGTGCCTCATCAACAGCTGTGCTATCTGGAGTGGTCTGGAGACATGCTGCCGATGCATTGAGCATGCTATTGCTGAGCCGTGAGAGCGTGTCGAAAAGGTCCAAGACCAAAAGTAGGTTTGTCTTGGACAAATCCAAAATTCCCTTCAGCGAACTTGGTACTTCGCTTTGTCCTTGCGGTGGGGCAAGAGCGTGCACAGCTGGTTGGCTCGTATGCATGCCATGGGAGCCTGCATAAGAATTGCGGAGCACACTGCTCAGCTCACTCACTTGCTGGCGCAATCGCTGGTTCTCTTCTTCGAGCCTTTCGTTGGGGCGCCTGAAATGCACGCCCAAGGCAGGTAGTGCTTGTTGATGCGACACGTAGGAGCTTCTCGCATTCCCTGCTGATACAATGCTGTCACGCAGGCTATCATAACGTTGCCTCAACTCTGCCAGTTCACTGGGCCCTTGCTCTGACCAGGGGTGATTGAATTCATCCAAATCGAAGTTGTCAGGATCTTGTGAATGTGCCTGCCACACTTCTTGCATGATCTGCAGGCGTGAGCAAAACTTCTCAAAAGTCCAGTTGTACAGAACCTCTGAATCTGTGGAGCCTCCACTCCCAGTTCCAGAGGCAAACTGTTCCAGCAAAATCTCACTGGAGTGAAGGGATGCACGCCTGGCACTTGTGGCTGAAGCTCTGGCCTTCGCCTGCGAAGGTGAAATGTGACGCACCAAGCGGACGCTGAGTTCTGGGCAGCAAGAGCGGCCATAGCCAAGTGCCAGAATGGGGGCAATGGCACAAAGCTCAAACTTCAAGTTGGTTTGGCCTCCAGGTTTCACTTCTGCTGTGATCTGATTTGCCTCCTCCACCATTTGCGCAGCCTTGCGAGCCATCAACAGAAATTCTTGCACAGAGGTAGCTCCATCAGTGTCCAGGTTATTCTTCTTCAAGTCTGCCATGAACTTCAAAGCCATTTGCCGCTGGCCAGGCTCTTCAGCTCTCTCCTTTCCCAGAATCTCTAGAATTAACAATTCTTGTTGTGAGGGGCGCGCTGCGGGCAATCTGTCAGCCGGAAGATCATGAATTGAGGTGCCGGGTCTTACAAAGGCATAAAGCATCACCGATCGTCCAAGAACAACACGATCTAAATGCTGCAGCTCGACAGCACTGGCCTCTTGCAAGCGTTGCCCATTCACTTCTATGTAGGCAACGGCTGAAGCTTTGCCACACGGCTGCCATTCCTCCTCACTCCCACTCATGCTACTTCCACTGCTGGTTTCTGTGTTAGCGGCAGGTCGTAAGAATAGGCGTCCTGTGTTATCTCTCTGAATGAAGCAAGTCACCTCTTGTATTCCAAGGCCATGAGGCACCAAAAAGTCACATGCTTTTGGGTTGAAACCTAATGAGTATTCACGACCAACCTCTCAAGGATGGAACGTGAGCCTCCCCCTCATGTAAGGATCATCGGAGTAATTGACCAAATGTGGAATGCGCTTTGAATCTTCACGCTTTGCAGCCAAAACGCTGTGCATTGCCCAGCTCCATCGCGGGGCGCCCAGCTTTTCCAAATCAGCACCTCTTTGAGACATGAGTCGCTTAGCTTCCGTTTGCGCCTCTTCCCAGCCTTTTCGATATCTTTCCATCAAAGCTTCAGTTGCCTCGAGTTTGTCCGTCAAAGCATCAGCATGGACCTTCTCCTCCGATGCAGCAAGCTGTTCTTTCAAAGCCTGCAATTCCTCCTGCAAGCTCTTCACTAGCGCATCTTTGTCCACAGCTGATGCAGGTTTGGCTTTGATCTTTATATTTTTGACCGTTGACGCAAAGGTCAGTGTACTGTAACTCTCTTCGAAATTCGCAAGCGCCGGACTCAAAGTACCAATCATTGATGTTTTGGAGTTTCCACTCAAAGCATTGGACAGCAACAATGTCAACTTCGAATTCCGAAATCTGGACATTAGATTGCCGGTGCCAGCACCTGGAACCATCGATTTTCTAGTCTCCGGCTTTGCCAGTGCTTGAATGCAGCTTGCCAACCACATCAAACTTTGATTTATGAAGGTGAGTTCGACGAGCCTCTCGCCGGACACCTCAGTCGGTCGACAAAGGGGTTGGATCGGGGCCTTGCGTGCAAGTGAACGTGTCTTTGCGGCAAAGACTCCTTGGTGGTCTTCTCATTCTCACGGCCGGCAAGATCCACAAAAAACGCCTCTGAGGTGACAATGGTGTTGTCGCTGCCCCCCACCTCACTATTTGCACACGGGTGTTCACTTCAAGCTTCCCACCATGTGCAAACAAGTTGCGTTTTTCCACCATAAGCTTGAATATGGTGTGTGCTCTTGAACTCTTTGCATTCATGGCTGTTGCTGCAACTGTCTTCATCGTGTTGCCATACCTTGTCACAGGAAGCCAACTTTCGAAATGTGGGATGACGCGGGGTTCAAGATTCTGTTAGTGCGGGACAGGGTTTCTAACGTGTGTCCTACCAAAAACTGAAAAGCAAACAAAGTGTGGAAATCACTTGAAAAAGGACAAGCCAGAAAACGACAGGAATATGCAGAAAAGCCAGCCAGCCAAAAACTCAAAAAAAACAATGGGAACAACTGCAAGACAATATGTAATATGTATGTATAAAATATATAATCATATATAAATAGCAACAAAACATGCAAAGAGGAACAGCAGGAGACGACCCCACGAGAATCCATTCAGGCAAACCCGCGCACAGCAAAACAACCGACACGACCAACAAACACCAACAAAAGGCCAAAACCACAGAGCAACAGCAACACCCTGGCTCCGAGAATTGGATATATACAACCCATCTAGGTACGTTTGAAGATTGATGCGGTCCTTCTTCCACCTTCTCGTTACACCTGGCGGGCATGACTCGTCCCGGAGTCGTCTCACAGAGACGCCCAACGGCAACTTCCCCTAAAGGCCGGAGACCAAGGAGCAAAACGGAACCAATATGGGAGACTAAGATGCTAACATCTGCTGGGGCAGGGGCAAGACGAAAAGGACTGTGCAGGCATCCTCAAAATGCCAGAACGAGCTAGGCAGAACGCTATCAAATGCAGGGCTCACTAAACTCACAAGGTGATCAGGAGGGGAAGGCGACCCAACCACTTGCTTACTGTATATAAGTCTCATGGCCAGCCATTAAGTCTAGTTTGAGCATCATTGGATGATGACGATGGCTAGGAAAATTCTCTCAAAAATAGTTGTTTTTTTTTTGGCTACTGTTACTGTTTTTTGGCTACTGTTACTGGCCGTGGGACACACCCTGCCTCTGCCTCTAGAAGTAGAATCTTGGATCCAGGTTCATCAAATGGAGACAAATAACTAAACCATACTAAACCAGTTTTCGCAGACTAGTTCCAACCATAGAATCAGCCAATGCAATCGAGCAGCTCAATCAATTGGACACAATTCTCAAAGGAATCAACGGGCTCATCTGCCACTCCCTTCACATACCTATGGTCTCCAAGCTGTCTGCGCCACATACCAACAGCTTGGACATGCACAAGAACGGAGCGGAAAGACCAAAATCCAAAAAAGACGATAGTGTGACTTGGGTAGTAGAAAGTCTGTTCGCAAGACTAAGTCAAGACAAACCCAAGCCACACACCCAACTTTGGATGGACGTGCACTTCAGGATGGTGCCGCGATTTTCCATCTTTGCCTCAGCGCTCAAACACTGCACAAAGATCTAGCCTGACAGCCCTGCTTCAAACCCTACAAAACGGGCAAGTCAATATTAAATGTTTGCCTCGTTGCGGATCCTTGCAGTAACTACTCCAACTACTCCTACGGTGGTGGTTGTAACTTGTAACATTTCCCACGAGGCTCAGCCAGTGTTCCTTGTGACTGGAGACTCCAACACTGGAACTCTTCGCATCTGTTCGTCTTGGGACTTGGGATGTCTTGGGGTCAGCGACCCTGTGAAACTGCCAATCTGCTATCACAGTCCGATTGCAACCGCAACTCCAATACCGGCATCACCATGCCAAAGACGTCGAGATCAAAGGCTGTTCGTGGCAGCGGACTTGGGTCTTCAGCTAAGCCCCTCTCAAGAACCGCTCAGTTGCACTCGCAAACGTTGCAAAGAGATTTCTTGGATATTAGGCAAGCCTAGGGCCTAGTCATGTTCTTTCCTGAAATTTTGTCTTAGCCATTCTGTGCCTGTTGCGGTTGTGAAGTGTTGTGATCTGAGTTGACCGTGTACGCCGCGTACGCTGTTGGACAAAAATGTCAAAGGGCACATTCAAAGCCAAGGCGCTATTTCCATTCATGGGCACGAGGAGGTCACGCACCTTTTCGTTGTACACCTTCGGAAATGGCGGAAGGTTTAGGGGCTCAAACGAACCATTGAGAGAACGCAGGGCATGCCACCAAACCCTGCAAGAAACGAACATGTTTATGCAATGTTTCGTACTGTTGCTAACTGCAGTTGGCCCAGCAAAGGTTTGTATGGTTGTGACAAAGCAACAGTAGTTCTGCTTAGTTTGGTGTGTGTGTGTGTTTCTTTCTCCCAGGGTCAAGAAAAAACAAGAAAAAGGGAACATGAAAAGGGAAAACATTAAGGAGAGAACCAAAGAACGAGGAACATTAGATAGGCAAATTTAAAAGAAGGGACAGGAAGGTTTCTTCTCCTCAAGAATTCATATACAGTACCTCAACGAACTCCCAAGAAAAGCTTGTTTTGAACTTCTGGCTGTGGCCTGAGGCCCTTTGCTTGTTTTTTATTGTTCAGGGCTTCAGCCTGAAAAGCTGGAGAGGGTTGGGCGGAAGGCGCAGCGCCTCACCAACAGCAAACCGCGCGGAACATATTTGGGTGTTGCGTAGAGGCGCTGACCGCTGGGAGGCAAAAGGCTGGATCGCTAACATGGGCTGGCAAATTTCTGCACTTGAGGCTGGGGGTTGGTGACGAAAGCTGGCATGGCTTGGAAGCGGGATGTGGCGAGAGGTTGTCGGAGAGCGCAATTCTGTGTTTTTGCTGGAAGGTATCTGGTTTCCGTGCATTGACTTGTTGACTTACAGTCAAATGACCTAGTGGAATGTCCTCTCCAATGCGGCCCTGGCCGACGCATTCCTGAATCAGACCATCAGACGCGGAGGAAGTTGAACCCGCCGGGGGGGTCTACGCGTGAATTATTCACTGGGTAGGTCATTCCATCCCCCAGCCAATGACTTGCTAAAGCAAGAGTAACTCCAGCTAACTGACGCTAGCTTTCGTGACAAGGACACCATCCCACTCTGAACAAGCACATCCCAACCACCCTCCAGCGAAACCATTTGGAACAAAACCATAGCCCAGAAGCCGGGGCCTTGAGTCAAGAGTACTTGGCCCTATGAAGAAGCACGGCTCACTCACGCCCGCAACCTTGCACAAACAAGGGAGGGTGCGGCCCTTGCCATTTTATCTGGCTCTGCAGTCAGCCCAGCGTGCTTCACATCCTGACGTCAAAGCAGCACAAGGCACAGCCCCTACTGCATCACAGAAGGAGTAGACCATGCCCACGTCAGTTGGAACTGCACAGCCAAACCACCAAACAAACAAGGATTTGCTCCACAAAACGCCCTTCAGGCCAGGTTTGGATGGCTGCCCAACTCAGCACGCCCCACCGGAACCGGAGTCTTGAAACAAATGACTTCCATCGAAAATATTTCGCAAGCTCGGCATCCATACCAGCCCACAAACAGTCTAGCTTCCCAAAGCACCACGCCTCACAGAGCTAAAGGCTTCAAACAGCACAAGCTCCTAAAGACCCAAAGGGGCCAAAGATGTTCCTAGCACAAGCAGCACTAGGCTGCGAAGAATGTTTCTGTAGGGCAGGGTCAACCTGCAGCATCTACAACGGGCTCTTCCTCTTTGAGCACGAACAGTGCCGTCATAGGACCCGAAGTTGGCACCAAACATGGCGTTGCTGGTCTACAATTCTTCAAGCAAGTTGTCTGCTCTAAAGCCTAAACTCTGGAATTGAACATCTCCTTCAAATACTTCCTGCGTTTGTGCAAGCCCCCACACACACATAGCCATGCAGCAAGGAACTCTTGCCAATGAGCATGACACCTGCAAAGGAACCTCAGTATCGCCTCAATCTGTTTGACGCTATGGAAACTTGACCTTTCCCGTTGCACCCACTGCGCGTTCTGTCTACTTCCCGCACGTGGCACGTTCGATGGATGGAACAACTTCACATCAACGTTACGCACTGCCCACTTCAGTGTGGTGACACTGGTTGTTCCTGCAAGGCCATGATGATAACACTTGATAGACCTGTATGATACTGTACAAACAGCCTAAACAATTCCACATTTGTCATGGCCAGCTGGACGGCCTTGCTGTGAGAATGTTTCTTTTTGAAGCTGTGAGCTGCACTTCCGAGAAGTTGGATTTACATAAATATAGCATTGGGGCGCCGTTTGCTACCTTTGCTGGCTTTCATCGACGTCAAGTTTGAACATCTGCAGTTTTGCAAGAACTTTACCAACTCAACGCACCTCTGCTGGAAAGGCGTTTCGAGCTTCTGTCCACTATGATAAGGACATACCTATGCGATTGCACCAGAATGTGAAACTTAGTCAGACTTAGTCCTAGGAATGGGATGAGGATGGATCAATGGACGGCTCCAGAACAACATTGTGCAATCAGGACCTACTTTCCCCTGTTGCATGCGAAACATTTCGATCGAAAGCTGGCTCCAGGTTGGAAGTGAAGGGCTCCGATCGAGGACTGGTTCTAAGTGATGAGATTCCCTCATAGTTTTCAGTTACCTCCAGAACAAGGGCTCGTGCAGGTCGTTGGCTGTGGTGAATTTCGGAATTTGACTGACTCCGGTTGAATCCATTTGAATCCAATATGTGTATATTTGGTGTAAATATAGTATATACAATAGAGATTAATATAGACTAGGTTTACCACGGTTCTCTCCCTACGCCTATGCTTGTACATTCTGGATTTTGACATGTTGAGACCGGAATCATATCTTTGGAATGCCCTGTTTAAAGAGGACTGGTACTCAATTCATCATGAGCAACCCACTCACCTCAGAAAACAACCATCAATCCAGAATAAAGCAAATCACGACCACCTACTTACTTGGGTCGGTGCACAAACCGGCATGCAGCTCAAGAATGAGCTCATCGAGCAGTGGTGTAAGGAAGGCAATGAAGGTTCACGAACAAATGTGGACCGAATCGGGCGGTCATTCATCAACACGTTTCCCAAAATGACTATGTAATATATTTTATTATATTTACTATATTTATGATCATATATGATCATATACTTATATATTAACATAGAACACAAGGATCATCTTTTTGCCATAGTTCTCACTGCCCGGAATGCACCGGAAAAAAACGTGCACCATCTCAGCATTCAGTTGTGTGGACTGTGATCGTAGTAGTGTGTGCACCTTCTGCCCCCCATGCATCCCCATGCGTTTTGGTTTGACCAAATCATTCACCAAACGCTCCGATTTCATGATTAACAAGGGCATTCCTACTAGGAGCAAGAAGCTACTAGGTGGAGGCCATCCCTATTAGTTTGGAGGCCATTACTATTAGGAACAAGAAGCTACTAGCAACAAGGGATCTACACGAAATGAAGCAGAATCTCAAAGATCTGCGCACCTCAAGCATCTGAACTTTGCAGTGCACCTCCAAGCCCTCATCTTGCAAAGCAGTCATCCTCGGATCAGTATGATTCAATATGCGCATGCCAGCAGCAAGTCTCAATCAAACCCCCCCCACCGGCATTGCTGGATCCGCTTCTGGAGTCAAAGCGTCTCAGAAAAAAGGTCGTTCATGAGGCGCAACAGCAGTCCCTGCTTAGATACAGGCTCCACCTTCACAAGCACATGCGCTGCTGGACCGAAAAGCAGGACACCAGCAAAGGACAAATTTACACAAACATACACAAACACAGTTTTCACAAGCCAATGTGCATCAGAAATGAGGCCCCCAACACCCAACCACCACCTTGTCCCTTTAGAAGTCTAACATCGCAAGAATCTCCAAACTTCATGCTCGGTGCCTTCCCCATGATAGTGGTCGTCTTTCCAGTGCCAGTCTGCCCATAGCAAAATAAGCAACTAAAATAACCTCCGAGAACGTGGTCTACCATCCTCTTTGCCATCAAATCATAGCACCTATCCTGGGACACGTAGTCCGGGGCATCAGGATCGGTGCTATCCATAGCGCAATCGAAGGCGAACTCAGAGACCTTTGCTTTCTGGGATTGCTCCGCAACATTGGGGTCCACGTGCACAACATTGCCAGATATTGTAAGGCACCTTGGCCACATAAAGAACAAGGTTTTCACACTTTGGAGCTGGATCTCCAACTAGCTATCGTGATACTTACTTCTTTCTGCCGGTGCAAATCAAGCACTAAGGCCTAATTGTAAGCTGACAAGTTTGTTCATATCTATCGCGCATATCTTTGGTTGCCATGGCTTGGAACTTCCACTGACCTCGATCAGCTTGTAATCATGCGGGATCGATTTCCACTCTCCTGCTTAATTCGTCGATGGGAACGGCCGGGCGCAGAAGCAAACATGCTCATGCGCAAAGAACAGAAATGTCCGTGGTTTTCGTTTCTGTGCCGTGGTGGTCGGTGGGCCCCTGAGTGCCATTCAGCTGGGAATCAGCTAGATACCTTCGGCCTTTCGAAACCACAGATTCAGATCAAGCAACTGGCCGACTGGCCGTGATGAAAACGCATCAACGCGACCGAAACAGAACCAAGACTGAAAACACATATGTACACGACCTAACCACATCATCCAAACGACAATGGTACAGGGTAAATGCAAACCAGAACAAACAAAACTGCACCTCAATAAGGGTAACAACAACCTCGAGTTCAAAATCCGAGCAAAGAAAATGGACCGGAATGCATTTTTGGCCTGATTGAACCCACAAAGGAATCGTCGTGGAACACTCTGGTGACTCTGGTGGGGCACTCTTTGCGTGACGTTCTTGTATGACATTCTTGATGTTCTTGCGACTTGTGGGCAGTGAAAAAGGCCCTACGTGTCGTACTCCACTTCACCAGTGGCAGTGCATGGGCAGAACGAATCAGTGAACGTTTTCTGTCTAGGGTCGTTCCACCAATTCACGAACAATGCAGTTCCCGCCAGTAACCTGCAACAATCCAGGCCAAGGGAAACATGCCCAACCTGTCGCTGTGGCCAGCGCAGCGTCATTGCAACCACATCGCATCATCACATGGCCTGACAAGCCTTTCGCAACCTAAGGTTTCCAAACATGTACAAATTTGTAGAACCAAACTGTTTAAAAGCAACAAGAGGCAGGGGGGCGTAGCGTGTTCAGATGACTACGCCCAAGAAAGCTAGTCTGAACACGGGATACCAGGATTGGTCATCCTGGCGTACCTGCTTGAATTTTAAGATACTGTGAAGGTCTCATGCGAGGAGACCCATTGTTCAAACACCTTCACATCTGCTGACTGGGATTCCTTTTTTTCTGACCCACAACCCTTTTTTTCTGACCCACATCCTTTTTTTCTGACCCACAACCCTTCTTTTCTGACCCACAACACGTCTTTTCTGACCCACATCCCTTCTTTTCTGACCCACAACCCTTCTTTTCTGACCCCCAACCCTT